GCTTTAGAATTAGAGTCAAAAATCTAAGAAAGGCCAGTCAAAAGAACACAGTTTGGCTCTGAAATCCAGGCCATCTCTGCCCCTAACCACAAAACTAACCAATCCCTGGTTAACTCTGTCCCCAAGAGATCTTATATAAACCACCTGAACAGTTGTGTGCTGTTCTCTCCACCCTGGCAGAGGCAGCCACTCTCCTGGACTCCTCCTTCCCAAATAAATCTTCCTTTCAAAAGAGTTTTGGGTGTAAAGATCTTCATTTGCCAGTGCAGAGAATATTGCTAAGACATCCCATAGTGGACTGAGCAGAAAAAAAACTTGCAGATATGTTCCCTTAGGGGGCTGAGCAAGAGTGAGCTGAACAGAACCTTGTTGAGACTTCTCTTAGGGGGCTGAGCAAGGAGGAGCAGAAAATGTAACAACTTTTCACTGGAACCAGAGATTACTACATTTCTGCATGGGTTTCCTCTTTTGCACCATGAAGCAAAATAAGCAACATCTTAGGCCAGAGAATAAGCAGAGCTCTGCTAGGAAGCCCCCTTAAGTGGGGGCTGAGCAAAGCTCATTTGTAGTGGCTCTCCAGGATAGGAGCAGGATTGCTGTATCCTGTGGGGACATCATCCCTCATCAAACCAGGTATAGCCTGACTCCTGAACAGTCGGGGTACCTTTCCCTGCTGAGCTGTCCTAGCAGTTCCAGGCTTGACCCTCCCAAGCAGTCAGTATACCTTCCCCTTCAGAGCTGAGCTGTCCTAGCAGCTCTAGGCCTGACTCTCCTGAGCAGTCAGGTAACCTTTCTCTCCAGAGCTGAGTTGTCCCATTGCAGTTCTAGCTGTCAGAGCTGTCCTAGCAGCTTGAGGTGTTGTCTGACTCCCAAATAGTCAAGATACCTTTCCCCCAGAGTTGCAACACAGTTGCTTACAGTGCCTGAACATAATAAAGGCAATTTATAGTAAGCCTATAACCAACATCAAATTAAATAAAGAAAAACTCAAAGCAATGTCAACTAAAATCAAGAACAAGACAAAATTGTCCCCTCTCTCCATAGCTATTCAATGTAATACTTGAAGTTCTAGCTAGAGCAATAAGACAACTGAAAGAGATCAAGGGGGTACAAATAGGAAAGGATGAAGTCAAAATATTTTTATTGCAGATGAGATGATAGTGTACATAGGGACCCTTAAAATCCCACCAGGGAACTCCTAGAGTTGATAAACATTTTCAACAAATTGGTTGTATACAAGATTAACTCAAAAGCTGGTTATAAGGTCTTTTTCTTATCCTTCAGCCCTGTCAGAATATACGGATGTTGCTGTAGTAGAATAGCTGGACTCTGGTGGTGATACATTACCCTGACTATTGATTGTGTTTTTGTATTGGCACTTAGTCCTCTGGGTTTGGGGTGATTATACATCTAGGTACCAATTTCTGGGTTTGTCTTTATTGGATGGATATTTTTCCCTTGGTTTATGTTTCCTCTCTGGTCTTCTGGCCTGCGTAGCTTCTGTTTGAGCAGGCAGTCTCCACCAAAGTTGGGAGCTGCCACTTTTGGTGGCAGGTATGATCTCTATTGAGCAGGGGTTCTGCCTGATTTGGGGGCTGGGACACAGAAAAGAGGAGGGAAGGGTGGGTTGGGGATAGTGTTTGAGGGCACCTAAAGAATGGAGGAGGTCTGGAGACAGGCAACCTACTTGATCTTCTGGGAGCTGTGGATTGTTTCAGCAGGGAGTGTCTTCTGGAGTTCGGAGCTGGTCTTCTGGCATTGAGGCATGTTGTTTGGCAGGGGGTGTCAACCTGAGAGAACCAAGAGAGTGGGGGAGGTCTACAGGTGACTGGCCTATCTGTTCTGGTGGACAGGGCCTACGGTTGGGCAGGGGGTGTCTCCCAGAGTTGAGGGTTGGTCTTCTGGCAGGTGTGGCCTATGGTTGGGCAGGTGGTGTCTGCCCAAGGGGACTCTTGATATTCTTTATTCTTAATGCATTCCACTTGTCCTGCTTTCCTTTGAGTTTTCTAGTTTAGTTACTGTGCTTTTTCAATTCTATCTTCATTTCTGCTTAAGTCCTCATTAATGCTTCTATATCTTCACTGAATTCCATTCTCAAGCCCTGGACTGTAACTGTCATTTCCATCAGCTTTATGTATATACTTTCTTGGGCATTTTTTCAGGTATTTGTTCTACTTAAGCTCTTTCTCTATAATCCCATTGAGTTGTTTCTTTGTGTGTTCTTTAAGCTCCTTGAGATCATTGATGGAGCTTATGACTTTTTAAGTTCTTTGTCCTGTGGTTCATTGAAATAATTGCCATTTCTACAGAACTGGCAGGGTTTGGAGAGAAGATACTGCCTTGATCTTTCATATTCTTTATATTTTTGCATTAGATTTTGCCATGTGGACTTTTTTCTAAGTCTGTTGTGGACATAGAAGGTTGGGGAAGAAGAGAGGACATGGGGGCAGTTTGACCCTAGAGGTTAGAATGGAATCAGATAGACAGAGAAAACTATGCTAGGGAACAGAATGTGCCTCCTGGTCCAAGTCTTTAGTATGAGGGTAGATCTATCTGGGTGGCAGAGTTTAATGTGATGTGAGTGGGACCCGCAAGTGGAAATAGGTATGTAGGGTCCTGGCAGAAGCCTAGAAATCCTTCATGGTACAGGCAAAGGAGGCCAGACTAGTCAGTACATTGGATATATGACCGAGTGTCACCTGGATACACTCTGGAGAGTAATGTGGGCAAAGCAATCCATATGTACCTATGGGTGACTGGAGGTAGGCCACATAGTGGCAGAAATACAGAGGTTTCCTGAAGCTCAGGTGAAGGTAGCCAGACTAGCCCTAGGCACTGCATGTGGGGCCTGGCTTAAGTTGGTGGGTTGTGAAGAAGATGTGGATGGGGAGGTCCAGGAGACTTGCTGGGGAAGGACATAGACAGTGAAGCCGAGTGCGGTAACTGGAAGCAGACCAGAAGTGACCTGTTGGCAAAGTTTTGAAAACTGAAAGTAAATGAGCTTGTTCACAAATGAGAGTGCAGAAAATGTGCAGAAGCTACCACTTTCCATTATTTTCCTCCTGAAGAGTTAAAATGGTCCATGTGGGCTTCTTACAACCATATTCCAGCCCCCATAGGAAACTGAACTATTCAGGGAATCAAGAAGAAATTGGACAATTTGCCTAACAAGAAGTCTTGGGAATTAGATTCCTAATGAAACTGTAAATATTCCCTCAGTTCTTATAATTTATCCTGTGCCTTGGCTTCATTTATTCTTTGGGCCAGAAGGATACCTACACATGCACTGCAAGGCATCCTTCTGGCCCAAAGAAAACTTTCCAAAAAGCAAAATTAACTTCTTTGTTTAATTTCAGAAATAAAAAACCCAGTCAGTATAGAGAATGCCTGAGTGATGGCATCCCAAAGAAGAAAAACAACCAAGTAAGTGATAAGGGTATTTGGGGTAGAGAAAAAGGGGAGAATGAGCCATCAGAGGACAAAATTGATGAGATACAGGTTTGATGGTGTGATAAATGCTGAAATATTTACTTTTACCAAGACTTTAAAAAATGATTTTTCAATATTTAATCATTCATTTATTCAGCAAGTTGTTTTTGTGAATGTATGTGCACCCATGCCATGGAATGATTATGGGGTATTTGGACAACTTTGGGAGTTGATTCTTTCTGCCCACCTTGCTGAGGTGGTATCTCTCTTATTGTATCTGCTATTGAGCACAGTACCCAAGACTGACTAATACACAAGATCCTAGTCAATTCTGTATCCACCTTCAATCTTGCCATAGGAACATGGAGGTTACAGCTCTGCTTCACACATTTGGCTTTTTGTGTGAGTTCTAGGGATTGTAGTGAGGTCAAGTGGTTTGCACAGCATACAATTTTGCACATTTTTTTCTGAAACATTTTTTCTGTTTTCTATAAAACTGATTTTTATCAATGTTACCTTGTCCAAATCCACTTCAATAACTCAAGAAATAGAAGGATTTCCAAAACTGTTCAGTCAAAAGAACTTGAGTTATTCTTCTGTTGATTCTTTGGAAACCCCTAGAGATTGTGAACATCTTCTAAAATCTTTTAATTTGGGAGTATTGAGATGATTCAATGGGAAAAGTCCTTGCTGACAAGCCTAACAACTTAAGATCTATCCCAAAAACCCAATCAGTAAGAGGAGAGAATCTACTCTTGCAAGCATACTCTGACCTCCTCACACACACCATGTCATACATACACCCACACACATACAAAATAAACAAATAAATACTTTTAATCTCTTAAATTCTGAGAGCCTGTAAACAAAGTCCAAGGGTCCAGCTGGGATCACAACAGTGATTCATTGAGCACAGATAGACTCAATTAGAAGAATAAGGTGCTGCATGAGTCTTCCCATTCCTGAGAGTTTTCCCAGGTTCTAGAACAATAAGGTGTGAAAGAGTGGATAAGCAAATGCTTAGGTGTCTTAGAAAGAAGGTACAGGAAATTGGTTCATTGCATCAATTACCAATTTCATCAAATGATAACCTTTAGTCCTTCTTAGTATATAAAACATTTCATCTCTTTTAGTCAAATCATTACACTACAGTGTAGTACATTTTCCAAGTCTTAGCATGACACAAACTATCTGTGTGCAAAGATATTTCTATGCATACTTATAATATTTTGATTATATTCACCCACAGAATTATTCTTTCTTATCCTTTTCCCTCTTCTCCTTCTCCACATCTCTAACAGTATCCTTTCTACCCTCATGTCTCTTATAAAATTTTATGAGAAAAAAAGATGACGTCTTTCTTCCAGGATCCTAATTATTTTAATTAATGTTATGATCTCAATTTTTATCCATTTCTTTATAATAGCATAGTTTTGAATTTCCTTGTGAATGAATATGAACTCCTTTCCATATACAGATTTTTTTTCTTTACCCATTCATTCATTGATGAGTATCTGGGCTAACTCAACAACAGTGCTATTATGAATAGAGTCATAATAGACAAGGGTAAGCAGGTATTACTGTTTTTATCCATTTGGGATATATGCTCAGAAGTGCTATAGCTGGATTGCATTAAAATGTCATTTTCCATTTAGTGAGGAACCTCCATTCTGATACCTCAATAGTTTCACTAACTTATAGCCCTTCCAATAATATTTAAAACTTCCTTTCTTACACATGGCATAAATGCCTAATCTAATATGAGAACATATAATAAGAAATTATCTTTGATCTTTTTGTTGTGGCTAATGCCTTGGCAAGTTGAGGTAGGAAGAATATGTTCAGAAAGCTTGGTCTGCAAAGTGAGATACCGTCTCCCCTAACAAAATTAAATTAAATAAAACTACTTGGTCACAGGAATTCTGTAGATGGACAATTTAAAGCAGAAGTGTAGGGGTTAAGGAATTGCAGCAAGAGACAATAGGAAGCATTATACTTCAATGGAAAAGGTCTGAGCCTTTGACTAGGGAAAACACAATGTGGGAAGCAAGCTTGCTCTCTTAAAATCTGTAAGAGGTTTTGTGTGTTCTACCTCTTCTTGAAGTCTCACTTATCTGACCTTTACAAGAAAACCACAGGGGCTAGGGAGATGGCTAAATGGGTAAAATGCTTGCTGTGCAAGCATGGAGACTCTTATTCAGATTGTTATCACCCAGGTAAAAGTCAAACACAGCTGTGTATGCTTCTAACCCCAGAACTGCAAGCAGAGAGAAGTGAATACTGGGGCCTTACTGGGCAGCCAGTATAGCTGAAATTATAAACTCGAGGTTCAGTGAAAGACTCTGTTTCAAAAGAAAAAGTAGAGAAGCTATTGTGTCATACATCCTCATTGTCAACTTCCGGCCTCTATACATAACCACACACACACACACACACACACAGAGAGAGAGAGAGAGAGAGAGAGAGAGAGAGAGAGAGAAATAAAATCCCCTTCCACTTCACAATTTGCTGTTAAAATGATTTAACACATATGCAGTGTTATTAACTATAGTAGCTGTCATGTTAGGATTTTATTAGATGTTAAAGAATGTGGAGCTACTTAGAAACAGGAAATGCTAGGCATGAGTGGGATGAATGGAAGTTAGCCTAGTTCACCAAACAATTGCAATATGCCTGTAGGAAGAAATATTAGCTCGAAGCATACATTTACGAAAGATCTAGAAGGGTTTTTTAAAGATTTATTTGGGATGGGGGAGGCATATGTGTTTACTTTAGTGTGAAAGGGCATATGTGTGTGATGCTTGGACAATTTTTCAGAAGTTCACCTTATTTTCTGTTTGTAGCTTTGTTTTGAGGCAAGGTCTCTCTTGTTTCTGCTACTGCACTGCAAATGTGACCTTCTAGCTAATACTGTCTCCTCCCTAAGTCTCATCTTAGGAGTGCTGAGATGGTAAGTGCAAGATACTACATTCTATTTTTTCATATAGGTTCCAGGAATTGAAATCAGGTCTCCAGACTTGCAACCTAAGCACTTTTGCTGGCTGAGCCATCTGATGGTCCCAAGGTTTTTAACATAAACAAAATATTTAGACTTCGTTCAATGGACAGTAGTGAGAAATCCAAAGGTATTATACAGATACTAACATTCCTAAAACTTCCTGACTTACCCATATATGTTTCCAAAATAGTCTTATGTGCTACCAGGCCTCCAGGTGGTTCATTATTAAGATTATGGGGACTGGAACAAGGGCTCCACAGTTAAGAGTACTTACTACTTAACCATAAAGATCAGAGTTCACATCCCAGCACCTATATCCAGTGGCTCACATTATTAAGAATATCCCCTCATTATTTGAAAAATGTCCTTAGAGTTCAATTACTCCACCAAAATATGAATTTTTCAATTCGTGTATAACTCATAAAATATAGAAGATAAACATAAACTCCAAATTTAGATCCCTTTGATTAACTTTACTACATACACTCTGTGAAATCCCATCTGATTTTATTTATCTCCTCATGCCTTCATTTTTTATGTGAAGTAACATTCATCTCTTTGGGGTGTTGTAAGTGGCAAATGAAGGAAGTTAGTGTTCCAGGTATGTTCTAGCTTCCTGTCTGCAATCCCAGGTAAACTGAGATCTGAAGACTGACTAGAAGGTCATGGCCAGCCTAGGCAACTTAGTAAGACCCTGCCTCAAAGTAAAAATATATAAAAGGACTGCCTTGAGTACCTAACTCAGTAGTAAAGCACTTGTCTATCATATACAAGACCCTGGGTTCAAATCCCACTGCTACAAAGAAACAACAACAAAAAGTAAATCAATAAACATTCAGTGGTTGTTCTTATAGGAGGCATTCAAGTAAAATTAGAACAATTGTTTTATTATTTTTATGAAGAAATTATGCTTATACCTTTGTTACCAGAAATTTTAAGGAGTCTCAAAAGGGTCACTGCATGTTACTAAGGAAATACGTATCCACTTATTTTGATTTAAAAAACAACAACAACTTTAAGAACAGATACAAAGAAAAGCTTGGTGACAAATTTATTAGAATTTAAAAGAAAAACACCAGTTAGGCAAGCTGTAAATCTCAGGGTCTGCAGGCAGGAGAAAGACGGAGAAGAGAAAGAAAACCAATCCCTGCCATTTTCATTAAGCCAGAATGGAGACCAGCTGCCCTGAGGACAAGCCAGCACACAGCCAAGAAGAAACTTCAGGGAAGAGTGAAAGGGATCAAAGGACCAGAGAAAGCATGCTTCAGCTCTGGCCAACACCTGAAAGAAGGAGAGAGAAGAGAAAAACAAACAAACAAACAAACCAAAAGCTATACTGAGTCAGACCTCAAAAAGGCTGACAGACACAACAGATCAAAGCAAACTATCTCATTAAACAGCTGACATTCTTCTATCTTTTTAGAATGGCTCAAAGTGAACCCGCCTTCCTAGGGTTGGTCTTCCTTCCTGAAGGGTTACACTTTAGCCAAATATTACATCTTCATCCCACCCAGAGATTCTATTCTCTTGACAAAAAGCAAACCATCTACTATTACTGGGCTTTTACTGTTCCTGTGACATTATCATTGCCCAGACATGATATTGTCCACAAAAATGAAAAAAAATATAAATAGCCCTCATTTCAAGTCCTGAGCACAGTATCAGTGTGTCTTCAAGTTAACACCCCAATCAGTAAGCCCAAAGCTTGATATATGGCAATCACCAGTAATTGATTCTGGTGTGAGTAAATGAATACAAGAGGATGTGGTGAAGATGATAATTGAAGATAAATTCAATTGTTTTCAGGTTGGGCCAGGGGAAGAGAATGGATGGTTAAGGATTACTTAAAAATTATAAATTCAAAACTAATAGGACCCTTGATTTACCCTGGTTGGGTAACCAGAGGCTCAAGTCCTTACTAATATTGCAGTTAGCCTGTATCATAATAAAATTAGAAAACTAAAAACAATTTTTAAATGGATTTTTAGAGTTTGGCTTGAGTAGGAATATAAATAATCCTCAATTTCTCTCCCTGTCCTGTGCTGTGGTATGTATGTCAATATCAAGTGTCCTTCTCGATCTTTCTGTCTTATTTTTCTTTTTTATTAGTTTTTTTTTGAGAATTTCATAATGTATTTTGATCATATTCATCATCCTTCCCTAACTCCTTCTTGATTCACCCTTACCTTCCTTACCCACCCAACTTGGTGTCTTCTTTGACTTTTACCCCTTGAAGTCCAAATTCTGTTACCTGTGTATTTGTAGATTGTGGCCCTCCACTGATATTTGTTCAACCTGCTGGGGCCATACCCTTAGAGAAAACTATTACCCCTCTCCCAACAGCTATAAATTGCCAGTATCTAGTTAGCTAGTAGTGGGATTTGTGGCCACCCTGCCCTGTCTGTGGTGGAATTAAGAAAAATGAAATTCTGTGGTATATTGATGGAGCTAGAAGCAACCATTTTTAAGGAGGTAGCACAGACACAGAAAGATAAACATCATATTTTCTCTCACTTGTGCGGCTTAATATTGAATCTTCAGATAATATGTATCTCATTTGGAACAGCCATAGTTATCAGAAAATTAGTAAGGATCTAGGAAGGGGGATTTTAAGGGAGAGGAGAAAAATGAAAAGATATGAAGGGGTAAATAGGAGTAATGGAGCAGGAAGGCTTATTTATTCTTTTGAAACAGGTTCTCCCAAAAGTCATGGGACAACATTGTTAATAACAGCAATTTTAGTTATTAATTTAAATCATTAATAACAACAAAGAAAAGCAAGAATGAGCATGTTCCTAGTCTATTTATAATTTGTATTGGTGGGTTTGCAGTAGCAAGATATTTTCTGTAGAGAAATAGAAATCACCATGCTAATGAAACAAGTAAGTGTAACAAAATAGCTTCACACATTTTCTCTCTTATATGTGAAATTTATTTGTTTGTTTATTTTATTGGAACCAGGTCTCACTGTGTAGCCTTGGCTGGTCTGGAGCTCACTGTGTAAACCGAATAAATCTCATTATTTCTGTATCCCTTTGATCTACTTGGAAGATAGATATCTTTGTTGAGTATTTTTAGTGTTTATCTCTAAATTTTAATCATGCACACAGTGTAGAAAGCATAAAATACTCAATGTAACTATGAGAACCTCCTTCATATTTCTTTTATTCTAAATGTGCTTCTTATATATAATTTGTTCCCAGTGTTTTATTTTTAGTACATGTATTTATTCTTTCTCTTCCCAACCCTCTGTATGTGTGTGGGGAGAGGTCTGCTCACACATGTGTGGGTGGCAGAGAAGTGTGGGAGTTGATTCTGTCCTTTCTTTATGTGGGTTCTGGAGATCTCAAGTCAGCAGGCTTAGGGGTAAGCACCCTTCTCATTTAACCATCTCTTTAGGCTATGTTTTATTTTTAATCAGGACATATTGATGGAATTCAGTATGATGTTTGCATACATACATACACACATACACACATACATACATACATACATACATACATACATACATACACACACACACACATACATGCATATGCTTGTTGATCAAACCCATTCACCATTCCCTTACTCCAGCATCTCTCTCCTCATCACCTTTCCCTGTTGCTAAGTAATTACTCTTGATCTTTTCATGCTATCTTAATTTTACTTTTGACATATGAGAGAAATTACAGAATACCCATCTTTCTGTATCTGTCTAGCTTAATCTACTTAAAAATAATTTCTAGTTCCATCAATTTTGCTGAAAATTAAAATTTTAATTCTTTTTATGGCCAAATAATTCTCCATTGGATATACCATATTTTCCTATCCATTCCTCTACTAACAGATACAGGCTGGTTTTATGTCTTGGCTTTTGTGGATAATGCTGCAATGAACATGGCCATACAGCTTCTCTGTGTTCTCACTTCCTTCTCTCTAGGTTTTTACCAAGGGGAGTTATAACTGGATTTTTTTTTTAAACAAGGGAGTGATATATGAACATATACCTTTTAAGAATTGTCAAGTAACTGTAACTTTTGTGAGTTTTCTATCCTGATCATTTTTGTGTTTGCAGTTTTAAAGTATTTTATGAAATCTTTGATAATTTCATAAATTTGTACATATGTATTTTGATCATACCTTGTATATACATTTTTATTTATTTGAAAAATCTTCTTGCTACCTTCCATAATGACTATATCAATCTGCATACCTATGTAAGGGTTCCTCTTTCTCCATATTCATACCAGAAATTACTTTGTTAATGTTCTTTAGTTTTACTTAAGGCAGGTTCTCTGTAGCCCAGGTTAGCCTCAAAATCATTACACCAAAGTTGTTCTCAAATTCCTGATCCTCCTGCCTCCACCTCCAAAGTGATGAAATTATATGCCACCATATCTCGCTGGTTTTCTGTTTGTTCATCTTGCTGTTATTTTATTTGTTTAATAATAGCCAACCTTTTCATTTTTAACTATTTTATAAGTAATTTTAAATTTGTTTTACATTTACTTATTTATTTAGAGAACATATGCATGCAGCAGCACATCTGCAGAGATCAGAGCACAACTGGAGTCAGTTCTTTCCTTTCACTATGTGGCTTTCAAGGATCACACTCAGGTCCAGAGGCTTGGTAACAAGCAACTTCAGCCACTGAGTCATCTCACCAGCCCATATTTTTTTATATTTTTATCAGTATACGTTTACTTTAAAGTAATGAGTTTATTATTAAAATTTTTATTCAAATATATTATGTATTTTGACTACATAACCAGGTTAAGATGATATTCCACTGTAGTTTTGATTTTGTTTTCCTTGATAAGCTCATGGTTGTGAACACTTTTTTATGTATTTTTTGGTTGCTTCATATTTTAATCCACCTTCATAACATGCATTCTATTAATATTCCTAAGTGTTTGCAATTCAATGTTTTGTTTATAACATTTGTGCCTACAAAGAAACTTCTTGAATAGTCATTAATTCTTGAATATCACTTCTTTCTGGATTTCATTAATTCATTCATCCTCCAGCAGTTCTTCCTTTAAGAACGTTGAGTGGAGCCGGGCGGTGGTGGCGCATGCCTTTAATCCCAGCACTCGGGAGGCAGAACCAGGCGGATCTCTGTGAGTTCGAGGCCAGCCTGGGCTACCAAGTGAGTCCCAGGAAAGGCACAAAGCTACACAGAGAAACCCTGTCTCAAAAAAACCAAAAAAAAAAAAAAAAAGAACGTTGAGTGGAGTCTGGAAATATGGCTCAGCAGATAAGAACACTTGCTATGAAAGCAAGAGAACATGAATTCAAATCCTCAGCACTCACATAAAAGCTGGACATGGCTACACATGCCCCTAACACTGGAGTTTGACGGTAGAGGCGGGAGAATCCTGGGATCACACTGAACCTAGATGAAATGGCAACATTCAGGGTCAGTAAGAAACTCTGTCTCAATACCAACAACAGTAAAAAAGAAGAGGAGCAATCTAAGGGAAGCATTTGATGTCCGCCTTTGACTGCCACAATTATGTACACACCACATGCATGCAAATACCTTGGACACCAAGCACACACACACACACAGAGAGAGAGAGAGAGAGAGAGGGAGAGAGAGAGAGAGAGAGAGAGAGAGAGAAAGTTAAAATGCACAAAATGAAATCTTTCCATTATTTCTTCCATGATGTTTCCAGACCTGAAATTATGTACATACAAATACAATTATATAGTCTGAGCAAATTGTATTTATATATTTAGGGACATATTTTAAAAACTATATGTAACAACAATCAAAGAAAAAAGAGGCCAGATGCCGTGAATCCAAGAGAAAGTGGACATAGGAAGGGGGATAATTGGGAGGGGTTTAATGAAGAAAAGAGAAAGTACTAATTGTGTGATTGTATTTTAAGTTAAAAAAAATAAGTAAAAAGAGAAAAAATCCATAAACTATCCACTTTTTCAATATCTATGTGCAATGGAAATAATCAGAGGATTCTGAATTTAAGCTTTGAGATTGAGGTAATTTAAATACTAAGCAAAAGTCTAAAAAGTACTATAATTAGCTCAGACAAGAACTGGGAAGTTAACTTGTCTTACCTTCTAATCTATATTCATACTATTCCTTAACTTCTACTTTTAATACTTCCGAAAGAGTTAAACGCATGGAACCACACAACCAAACCAGTGCATCTGAATTCATCCTCCTGGGACTTTCAGAAAAGCCAGAACATGAGCCTGTCCTCTTCGCTTTGTTCCTCTGCATGTATGTGGTCACCGTCGTGGGGAACTTGTTGATCATCTTAGCCATCAGCGCTGACTCTCACCTCCACACTCCCATGTATTTCTTCCTGGCCAATCTCTCCTTGGTTGATTTCTGTCTAGCCACCAACACTGTTCCTAAGATGCTGGTGAACATTCAAACCAGGAGCAAGTCTATCTCTTATCCTTGCTGTCTGACCCAGATGTACTTTTTTCACTTTTTTGGCATCATGGACAGTGTCTTATTAGCTGTGATGGCTTATGACCGGTTTGTGGCCATTTGTCACCCATTACATTATTCTGCTATCATGAGCCCACGCCTCTGTGGGCTGCTGGTCGGGGGCCCATGGGTGTATTCCTGTTTCATCTCCCTCACCCACATCCTCCTCATGGCCCGTCTGGTATTCTGTGGAAACAATGAGCTCCCCCACTACTTCTGTGACCTCACCCCACTTCTACGGCTTTCATGCACAGACACAACAGTAAACAAAATCTTTGTGCTTATTGTGGCAGGAATGGTGATAGCCACACCTTTTGTCTGCATCCTCGCCTCCTATGCGCGAATCATCGTGGCCATCATGAAGGTGCCCTCTGCGGGTGGCAGAAAGAAAGCCTTTTCTACCTGCAGCTCCCACCTGTCCGTAGTAGTCCTTTTCTACGGGACCACCATTGGGGTCTATCTGTGTCCCTCCTCTGTCCGCACAGCTGTGAAGGAAAAGGCTTCTGCGGTAATGTACACAGCAGTCACTCCCATGCTGAACCCCTTTATATACAGCCTGAGGAACAGAGACCTGAAGGGAGCCCTGAGGAAGTTCATCAACAGAAAAATCAGCACATCCTCCTGATCATCAGAGCACTAGGGAATTTCCAGGCAGCAGAATCTAAAGATCTGAGTTCTTCAACTAAAGTTGGAATAGCATGTGAAGAAAAATTAATCACTTTAAATTCTGAGTTACAGAAATCCAAGTGGCAATTTCTATGTGGCCTTTTAACTATTGTCCCGTTCTAGTTGTTTTTATTGTCAATTTGGCACAGCCTGGGATCACCTGGGAAGAGGGAATTCCAATTGGAGAATTACCTGGGTTCAATTGGTTTGTGAGTATATCGTGAGGGCTTAACTTAATAGCTCCTTGATGTATGAAGGCCCAGCCCATTATGGACGGTTCCATCCATAGGCCCCTGATCCTGTACTGTGTAACGAAGCCAGCTAAACACTAAAGATGAGGCTTTCAGCAGGCCAACATTGTCCCCCATGGGTGTTGCTTTAAGTTTTTGTGAGTTTCTTCACTGGTGTCCTTCAAAGATTGACTGTAACCTTTAAACTAAATTAGACCAGTTCCTCTAATAACTTGTTTTTGGTCAGAGTGTTTTCTCACAGAAACAGAAAAGGTAACTCGAAGTCTCCCCATATATGGAGACCAGTAAATAATTCTAATTATATTTCACATTGTCCTCAGAGAAAAATAAGACTATCATTCCAGATCGGATATTCTCTACTTCAACATCCTTTTAGCAAGTAGCAAATGCAACCATGCATTGCTTAACAATAATACAATAGTATCTCCTGAGAAATGTATCATCTAAAGATTTTAGCAATGTAGAAATATTGTGTTATTTGCATAAACTTAGTGTAATTCAACTCAATACTTTTATTAAATTTATATTTAGATAGTCTCATACATTTCTACAATACATACCAACCATTCTCATCTCCCACCTTCCTATCACTCCTGTGAAGCTCTGTTCCTATGCACAGGTGTCTCTTACACATTCTCTCTTATATATTCATGTATAGCCATTTTGTTTCATAACCAAGAAATCAATATGACTATGAGTTATCTATTGGAGCCTGGTGGGTTCAGCAGTGGCTACATAACTGAAAACAGTTTCTCTCTCTCTCTCTCTCTCTCTCTCTCTCTCTCTCTCTCTCTCTCTCTCTCTCTCTCTCAGAGTCTATCAAGAACCAATAGTTCTGACACAAAAGATAGGTCCTCATTAGTCCCTCTCCCTTCACTGGGTTATTATTGATAAGGCCAGTCTTATATGTACATCCAGACATGTAACTAGACTCAGAAAGAGTTAATAATTGCAATAGTTATATCCAGTCCAGAGAATGGTTGTTCTTAGACCTACTCCTTGTCCTTCAAGTCTTATATTCTTCCCACCACCTCTCCTCTGCCAGTGTTCCCTGAGCCTGTATGGATGTCTTGTTTACTGCCAAGCATGCAAACATTCCTGATTTTTGCATCTTGGACAGTGTCTTAAGGTTTCTATTGCTGTAAAGAGACACCATGACCACTTAAACTCTCATAAAGGAAAGCATTTAAATGGGCTGGCTTGCAGTTTTGGAGATTTAGTCCATCATCATCATGGCAGGATACGCCAGCATGCACACAAACATGGTTCTGGAGAACGAGCTGAGAATTCTACATCTTGAACGCAGGCAACAAGAAGTGACTTGTGTCACTGAGCTAAATAACTGTGTCACAATAGCTCAAGCATAGATCTCAAAGCCTGCCCCCACAGTGGCACATTTTCTCCAACAAGGCCACACTTCCTAGTAGTGTCACTCCTTATGAGCTTATGGGGGCCAATTACATTTGAACTACCAAAGACAGCTTACAATAATAACCCCATGAAGTATCTTCTCTGATCAAAGGTGGGAGCGGCTTTTGTCTATGGGTATAAGCATAGGTATTTTAGAAGACAATTTGATGCCTTGTCAATTTATCAATATGGAGCCTTGATATAATTAGAGTGGTTGGTGCTGGAGGTACAGTTCAATGAGTAGCATGCTTAATTACTATCCACCATGCCTTGGGCTGGATATCCAGTGCTGTAAGACCCAGAGAGAGATAGGTAAGACACGATTGAGGCTATTTCTGGCACAATAAAACATTATAAACTTTTTATGCCACAATAAATAGAAGTACACTTTAAAATATAAATAAGGACTGGGGATGGCTTGGTGAATAAAGCTCTTGCTGCACAGCATGAGGACTAGTATTTGGATCCCCAAAACTCAGGTGAAGCCAGATGAAATTTCACACCTCTGTAACTCCAATGCACCTACAGTGAGATGGAAGGTAGAGACAGCAGAATCTCCACAAGCTCAGTGGCTGGCCAGCCTGGCATATTCAGCAATTTAACAGTGGACCCTGTCTCAAACAAGGTGTAAGGTGAGGACCAACATTCAAAGTTATTCTCTGACCTTTACATGCTCACTGTGCATTCATGTTCCCATACTCATATAATAATATATATATATATATATATTATTCATACACATATATCATCATACACATGCACATATCAATAAAGAAATGTTAAACAGCAATAAAAAGTAGAATAAATATATAAATCAGTAACATGGACCTTTATTAAGATTGCCAAGATTCTGTATTGAGTGCAATGTATTGTTGTAAAACAATTTTCTCTTGAATTGACTAAGGTGATTCCATCTTGTCCTAACTCTATTTTATGTCTGTCTAGACAACACTCAGCCTTTCATCCTCTAATAGTCACATTCACCTTGGCAAGACTTTTAAAACAGTCCCTGACCCTGACCATAGGCCAGATGTATTAATCAAAATAATTAATGTTTGTGCAATCTTAAACATTAAACTACGATAACTAGAGAAATCATAAATCAAAAATAATTGCCATATGGTATAACAAGAAATCCAGTTAGCCAGGCGGTGGTGGCGCACGCCTTTAATCCCAGCACTCAGGAAGCAGAGGCAGGCAGATCTCTGTGAGTTCAAGGCCAGCCTGGTCTCCAAAGTGAGTTCCAGGAAAGGCACAAAGCTACACAGAGAAACCCTGTCTTGAAAAAAAAACAAAAAAGAAAGAAGAGAGAGAGAGAAAGAAAGAGAGAGAGAGAAAGAGAGAGAGAGAGAGAGAGAGAGAGAGAGAGAGAGAGAGAGAGAGAAAGAAAGA